CGAGCAAGCCGAGCACCTTGGTCGCCGCGAATGGGGAGATGTGGGGAGATGCGGGGAGATGTGGGGAGATCTCTAGAGCAAGCCGAGCACCTTGGTCGCCGCGAATGGGGAGATGTGGGGAGATGCGGGGAGATGTGGGGAGATCTCTAGAGCAAGCCGAGCACCTTGGTCGCCGCGAATGGGGAGATGTGGGGAGATGCGGGGAGATATGGGGAGATATCTAGAGCAAGCCGAGCACCTTGGTCGCCGCGACGACGGCGTCGTCGATGCGCTGCGTGTGGCAGAGCCGGACCTACGGGCCGCGTCAAAGACCGGGAGGTGTGGGGAGATGTGGGGAGGTGTGGGGAGGTGTGGGGAGGTGTGGGGAGGTGTGGGGAGATGTGGGGAGGTGTGGGGAGGTGTGGGGAGACGTGGGGAGACGTGGGGAGGTGTGGGGAGATGTGGGGAGGTGTGGGGAGGTGTGGGGAGGTGTGGGGAGGTGTGGGGAGGTGTGGGGAGGTGTGGGGAGGTGTGGGGAGGTGTGGGGAGGTGTGGGGAGGTGTGGGGAGGTGTGGGGAGGTGTGGGGAGGTGTGGGGAGGTGTGGGGAGGTGTGGGGAGGTGTGGGGAGATGTCGGGGAGATCGCTCGCCTCCTTGACGAGGTCGATCTTGTTTTGCAGGATAATGATGTGCTCGAGCTTCATGATCTCGACCGCGGCGAGGTGCTCGGACCTGTGGCGAGAGGAGGGGGAGATAGGCGGAGAGACGGGGAGAGAGAGGGGATCCCGACCGCGGCGAGCCGCTCGCACGTCTGCGGCTGCGGGCACGGCTCGTTGCCGGCGATGAGCAGCAGCGCCGCGTCCATCACGGCGGCGCCTGTTCACAGCCCGCGCCGTGAAGAGAGCGAGGCGAGAGGCTTGCGGCGGGGCTGATGCCGCCCCGCTAGAGAGCGCGAGTGGCGCGCTCTCTCGGCTGCGTCTCCGCCGCCGTCTCGACGCGCCTCGTGCAGGCGGGCTACCGCCTCGGCTCTCTCTCTCTCGGCTACCCGTCGGCCGCCGTTGAGCATGGTGGCCATGAGGATGTCGTGGCCGGGGCAGTCGACAAAGGAGACGTGCCGCACCTGGCAGCAACCCCGGGAAGCATGCCGAGCCGGTGGAGCGCGGCTCGCACCGCTGAACACCGCGCCGGACGGCCTCTCCGAGAAGGTCGCGGGGGCGCTTCTAGGGCCGAGATATGGGGAGATATGGGGAGATACTCCGCTTCTAGGGCCCGCTGCTCCCGCTCGGGAGAGATGGGGAGATACGGGGGGAGAGATGGGGAGACACTCCGCTTCTAGCAGCCCGAGATATGGGGAGATGGGGGAGATATGGGGAGATACGGGGAGATAGTCCGGAGCGCGTCTTCTACGAGTCGTACCACGGCTACCATGGCTACGAGGGTACGAGGAGCTGCGGCAAGGCGCAGCTGAACGGCGCAGTGAAGACGTACCGCACGGCGGAAGGTGAGGCTGTGAAGAGTTGCCGAGTCTGAAGAGGGCATTGAGGCTGAGGCAGCCAGTAGTGCCAGTGGCGTGGGGCGCACCAGCTCGTACGTCCACTTGCCGACGGTCACAACGTCCTCCGTCGAGGAGCCGCGCGAGAGGAAGTTGCCCTAGTACCACACCCTCCGCAGGCTCGAACCCCGCGTGGGTTCGGTACCGTGGCGGTAGGGTGACGCTCACCGGCCGCGGGCACTCTGGGTCGACGCACTGGTAGATCTTGGCGTTGGCGTACCCGAGCTTGATGGTGATGTTGCGCTCGAGCTCGTTCTTGAAGCGGACGGTCTGCGACGCAGGGGGGGTGGGGGGGGGAAATGTGGGGAGCTGTGGGGAGGTGTGTGGAGGGACTGCCCATCGGGCTTGCGTATTGGCCTTGCGCGGCGGGCTTGCGCGGCGGCGGCGGGGAAAAAAAGAACGTGCGACGGGTGTGTGTGAGGGCACCCAGGGCGGTGGAGGCGAGGGCGGCGGCGGCGGCGGTGACCAGGGAACGTGTGGCAGGCGGCGAGGGCACGGGTGGGGTGGGAGCAGGGGGTCGCGATGGCGGCGGCGGTGATGGCGGTGGCGGTGATGGTGGCGCTGAGCGGGCGCACGCGAGAGGGTGCGCTGTGCGGCGGCTGCCTGCACGCCAGAGATGGACTTGACGACGGTGGACTTGCCGTGCGCCACGTGTCCGATGGTGCCTGACGGCGGAGCGCCCAGCCTCTGGGTGCGTCGGAACGTCCACGGAGGTCTACCAGATGCGCAGCGGGGCAGGGCGGCAGAACGGTGGCTACAGGCAAGGCCGAGCGAGGCCCGCTCCGCGAAGAAGGAGGTGGAGGCGGAGGCGGAGGCGGTCGCCGGCGCGGCCGGCAGACACGGGCGGGCGGCGCCGCGCACCGATGTTGATCGTCGCTTGGCGCGAGATGACCTCGGGCGAGAGCGGGTTGAGGGTGGAGACGTCGAGGGTGGCGAGGTCCTGCTTGGCCAGGCCTGGCTTGTCTGCCGC